ATTGGTTAGATGATTTACAATAGGAAATTTATTTGATTATATATTTGTATGGTTGGAGTCTCGCGAGTAAAAATTCGCGACAATATATGTGACGGTATTAACATTCATCTGCACCGTACAATCTCAGGTATAAGTGCTTGACGAAAACATTCAGGATATAGCGATATCGATCAAAACATTCTGTTGAGTTATTCTCGAGTATTCTATGTGTTGATAATCTTCCTATTCGAGTCATTGCAACATGTACAGTATACTGAATGGTCAATCTGAAGAATCTTCCACCCAATAAATTGTTCTAAAAAAAAGAAAAAATTTTCAAAATTTTAACTGGGAATGTGACAATGTTATTTGTCTTCTTAAGTTTTGGTTGAAGTTATCTGCAAGTACCGTTATTAGCGGACAGCTTAGAACAGAATCTTGTCGTTATTGAATAAAATTACAGTAATACCCATCATGGCAAAATTACTTTGTTATCAGTTATCAGTTATCTGTACGAAGAAACAATCAAGACGGAATACCGAAATATTATTATTCCATCCAGACAGGTTAACTGATTTGGGATGGTATTATTGCGTCAAGCATTTTAGCACAAATATTTGAAATGAAGTTTAAATAGATGATTTTATTTTTTGTAAAATTATTGTCTTCAATTTAGCGACAATATTCTTAGTCACCGTTAATTAGTAAGATTATTAAAAAATTAGACATTTAATCCTTGTAATAAATGTGATAAATTTTGGAATATTTTCCATAAATCATGACATTAATGAAAGGAAAACAAGTAAATATATTGGGAAATGAATTCAAAAAAACAAAGAAATTTCGTTAAAATAACGGATTCTTTTTCCGGATTATCAATTATCACCTCCACAACATACCTCTCTGGTATTATGTTAAACAAACAGTAAGATATCAGATTGAATAATAAAATTTGTCAAATTGAAAATGCTAATTTCAATTGTTGTTGACGAAATGACAGGCATTTAATTTCTAGGAATAATTTTAAAAAAGCATACATTTATGAAATATAAACAATACAATCCGACTTGGTTTCGAAGAATGCGAAAGCTGAATGTTAATTTTATTAGAGGATCTCTCACTAAGATTTGAAGCGATCAAAGAACAAACGATAACGAACATTTCTTACCTGAAATAATTTATAAATGAACGCAAAAGGAAACATAAAATATCTTTGTAGATATATTGCTTAATAGGATATCATATCCTATGAAACAGGTTTATGGCTTGTTAAGAACTTGTGATTTAGCTCTTAGTCCAATAATATGAAATTATTATAGATAGGATACATCAAATAGCTTCAACTATTAGGCAATTTTCGAAAAAACATTCAAGTTGGCAGAGATCATCTGCTCAGGGGTCATCAACTTTTTCCTCACAGCCTTAAAGTTGCCAATTCTAGGTTCGTTTAAAACTGATACAATTGTTTTAATTTTTCTTATTAATATACCCATCCCTTAAGCGAGAAATTTCCATTCTAATAAAACACAAACACTAATAGCTAAAAACTTCTTTAACATAAATTAGCTCTTTTATATTTATGACCAATTGTCTGAAGCATTAGCAAATGTCACAATGTTTAGCATTAGTAAATTTTGCTAATGTCACAAAATTTCTAACTCTTCTTTGTTAATAATTGGCCACATCTTTTGATTACTCCCATTGAGTTTATTAATACTGTCAACATTTTCTTCCATATTCCCTAAGTAATTCCAATTTTTACTGAAAGATTTATCTTGCTATCTATGAAAGTTAAAAAAATTCAAAGAAAACGAAAGGTATTTTGATTAATTCAAGACTATAGTCTTTTTAATATCTTTGCACATTGAAGAAAGAAATATGAAAGATCAATTTCAGTGAGCAATTTGAATTTATTTTCTTTCCTGTAAAATAATATCATTTCCTGAAAGGATTTAATTCCTAAATTATATTTTCAATTATATACAGCGTTTTTCAATCTAATCATCTATGGTACGAGCATTTTTTTTTTTATCAGATTGATATCAGATTGTTTGAAATTATGGAAATAAATTTGCATTTATATTCCTGTAAACGATTTTAGGTAATTGGTGGAGAATTTATGATCATTACAAGTGATATCAAATTTAATGTTAAAATAATTCATTGGCCGAAATGTATGCAAATTCATTCTCTAATGATAAGTGATTAAATCAAAAACTCCTCTTTTGCTGTACCATCAAATTAAAAAGTATCCACGACATACATCAGCCTATTCCTTTTTTTTCTCTCCGGGATGTTAAGAGCAATACCGAGAGGTTATGAGAAGTCCTAAAGAGTAAACAATAATACCAATTTCAAACATCCCACTTTACAACATCAATTGCTTTCACTGATATTGGTACAATAATTTCTTACAGCTGACAAATAAGTAAAATATATTGAATACGTACGATATATTTCAATATCCAATCAAAAATGTTGTTTGTGGTCAAACTTAGATTTCAGATTTTATAGTTTAAACTTCCTTACCTTAGAATTTGAATTTGTTTTGTAATGTAAATCGAAGCGACATTTGTGACATTTGTGCAGTTTTTTATGTTTATTATATGTGTATGATTACATCAATAGAAGAAGTTACATCGATATTTTGTCTATTTTTTTTTTTTGTTGTACGAATATTCAGAAATATTGCATATTATAAAAATATATGTTTTCCTTTACTATCCAAAAATTACAAAAAAGTTTCATTTTACAACTTCCGAAATTTGAATGTTAATTTATTGAATATGTTAATTATTGAAATTGTGATAAATTAAAATTACTAGTCTGCTTGAAATCTTATTTTTTTTAGTTTTACCAATTGAATGGCTTTATTTGCTTATCAAACCGAAAGAGTTTAAAAACTAAACTCTTAAAAACAAAAATCCCGAAAGTCAAATTGTTTAATTTCAAATTTATTTTGAAATGATTTTTTGAAATAACTACGATAAGTTGTATAGAGCTAATTTCATATCATAAAAGCATAAGAAATGTCAAAGCACAATTGCTAATGCAAAATAAGCCACTTTCTTCTCCTTTGACTTTTATTTGTTTCATTGCATTCTCATCGATGCATTTATCGAATATTGTAAATGCTTAAAACTTCCTAAAAGCTTTCCTTAGCATAAGAGTGACACTAGCTAACTAAGACACTGTCACATATCAACTTGTTTGGCAATACATCATTTCTGCCATTTTCAATGCATGACGAGAAGAATGTCTTCATCAAGTTTCGATGAATTATACTTTCAGCAAATAGAGGCAATGACGCTGTACTGAGGAATAACTGTCTCATTCTGTCGGTCTCTGTTTTTTATCTTTTATGTCATTTTTCTACAAAATCAATCGATCACAATTTGCTTGCTCCTTTTTATTCATTCATTTAGCCATTCATTTCATTCATTCATTAGCTAAATCTGTTAATTAATCAATAATTAGTTTGGAGGATAATTGCACCTCATTACTTCTTCCCTATCCGCATTTCCGCCTCTTGCACAATTCTATTGTCTCCTTTTTGCTTTCATCAATTGCTAATGTCTTTAGTAATGCATTTTATATTTGCATAATTTTGGAGTTGAATGTTCTATTACATTTACACAAATGATTCAATCGAATGAGCAACGGTAATATCCGGGAGGGAAAAATTCAATGATTTATATAAAATTAAATCAAACTAAGAAAACTGGATCACCACCAAATGTTGGGTAAAAGTTGATCAATTCAGGTTATACAATCTAAAATAACCGTAACAATGCAAAGGGTCATATGTTGAATGTTTCGTTTCTACCATATCCAGAAATAACCGCCATTTGAGTGCTACAGTACTACTACTACTAGCATTCTTTGTCATTTCATCTAGGATTGCAATAAACGGAAAGATCAATTTAACATTGATTCTATCGATCGAAATTTCGATTTTAAAATTAAGTATCGTATCCTTCCAATCAATAACTTATAAAAGTTATGACTGTATCCAGGTGGTTTTTATCCGAATAATTACTCTAATGAGATTGTTATAATTGCAATAAATAAATGAGAAGAAAATGGAAAAGATACGCATAAGAGGGATTTCCCAATGGTTTCCTATTTTGAGAAGAAATTTATCCTTCAAATCATTCAGCAATTTCTTTTATGACAATTTACTCCTTTGGTCAAAAAAAAAAGCTTTTAAAAAAATATTTAGATGGGCATGAAATGACAAACCATCCATGTTAGTTTGGAAAAACGAGGCGCTTTCGGTCCATTACTCGTCCCGGCTCTCTTCCAGCCATTGAGTACTACTTGGTGCATGTATGTATGTATATACGTGTGTATAGTATGTGTGTATGTGTATGTATGTATGTGTATGTCTGCATGTTGTGTGTATCTGTGTGTATGTGTATGTATGTATGTATGTGTGTGTGTATGTGTGTGTGTGTGTGTGTATGTGTGTGCGTGTGTGTGTGTGTGTGCGGAAGTGGTTTGAAACCTAATGTTAGCGGTTTTGGTTACACTCACCAATCCTTCCAATTTCTCTACCCTGCTTGCTTTTGCATAAGGGTAGTTTATATGTTGTGACATTCTCTCTACAAGCAGATTTGTTCGATTTCGAATGTGATGAGATTGGTTTCCTCAGAGTCAGGATTAAATATCCCTTAGATTGTTGGATCCAAGTAGATTGTGATTGGTTTCCTCAGAATCAGGATTAAATATCCCTTAGATTGTTGGATCCAAGTAATGATTCCATAACCTGCTATTAGCCTGAAAGATCCTACTTGATGATTCTAAGCCATTGAAATTTTCATACTTCTATCCGATTTTCCCCAAAAATTTTGTTTGTTCATTTCAAACAATTTGTCCAAAATAAATTATTTCCTGAATATTTTCCGGTATTTTCCTGTTCTATATGTTACATTTCCTGTTCCTGTTTGTTATGCATGTTGTAAAATTTTTTTCCGTTTTTGATTAAAGGAGAAA